GGAACAAGATCAAAAGAAAGCGGTAACACGGAAGTGAATTGATGGCTCTATTGCTCACTTACCTGTGTGTAAGGTACTGAGGATGAGGCCCCGCCCTCAGGGAGCCTTGTATGGGAAAGCACTAACTCAAAGCAGGCCATGGACTGGCATTACCTGGGCCCCTTTAGAAGTCAGACTTTTAGGCACTACTCCAGACCTAAAGCAGAGCCTGCGTTTTAACAAGATTGCCTGTGATTTCTGTGCATAGCAAAGTTTGTGAGGAACTAGTTGAGTAGGTGGAAAGAAAAATATTTACAAGAAAGCATAGGAGAAGCATAAAGTACAAAACAGCTCATGACTTAAAACATTTTTTTTTTCAATTTGGGATTTTATTTCAGAGACAGAGTCTAAGTTCACGCTTGCTCTTATTTCAGAGGAATCTCAAAGTCAGTGTTCAATTTTAGGGGATCGTTTCATCTGAGTCCCTTGCTTGGGAGCATTTCCTTGCTTGAGGTCAAGACAGAGCTTGCATTCTTGGTTACTAGTCACCAAATATGTGACAGGCCATAGTATCTATCAGTGGTGTCAACACCACGGGCATCCTTTATCCCCTAGCAGTGCAACCCCCCAGGGGACGGAGGCAGTAATGTGCAGCCATATTGTTCCCATATCAAGTGATCCCACGGGACCTGTATGGCTAAGGTAGAGTGTCAGGGTCTGCTCAGGCGTCCTTTTCAGACATGGAGACTTTGAAAAGTGGGACTTTAGGCTCGTGATGATACAGAGGTCTAACCATTTACGTGTTATCATTCCATTTTGGGAAACAAAACAATTCTATTGAAGGGACACTATTCTGACATTCAAAGTTCGAGCTTAATAAAAAGGTTAGGGCTTTTCATCTCTAAAATACTGAAATGGTGGCAGGTGAGGAAACCCTGAAAGCAGGCACGTGTCCCAGGGGGTAAATTGTCAGTTTTCTGTCTCCACCACGTCTTCTTCAGTAAATCAGTTGTTTAATTCCTCAGAGGGAGGGAGGATGTTGAGGAGGGAGGATTTAGTGTACTGTGGGTGTTGGCTTCCTGGAGCCCTGAGGGGAATATGATTTTTTTCTTTTTTCAGTTATACTTTCTGGCTCAAACTGTTTGCTTTTAGATGTTGAGATAAGCTGTCATTATTCGTGTGTACAAATTACCTCACAGAAAGATTCCCGTTTAAATCTGCTCTTGAATTATTTACAGGAGATGACAGTTGGAAATCCTCCTGCACCCTGGCCTAGAAGCTGCAGTTCCCTTGGGTCGTTTGGGTGGTTCACGTGTAATCTGATCAGGCGCCCTTGTCTTCTTCTATCAGGCCAGGGCTGCTTGAGAACACAACCCAGTTGAGAGTGGCCCCCCTCGCTGCTGCATGTTTCGCTTTGTTTCTTCACCTTTGTTTCTGTTATAAGCCTTCTGTTTGTGTGCTCCACGCCCAGCCCAACCGACTCTCACAGACCCGCTGTATTCAGCCACCGACTCCTAAGCCAGAGTGCTGCTGCTTCTGTTCTTCTGACCAGGTCTATTGGGCAGGGTTAGGACAGAAAAGTTGCACAAGGGAATTAAAAGTCACAGTGCTCATTTGTGGCCTCTCAGGTTAAAAAGCTGATGCCACTTGAAATTACTCCCTGCTCTTGGCTGGCATGTTACACAGATGGCCAAGGGGAGCAGTTACACACCTGAGTGGGTTGAGGAGTTTGTCTAATACTATAGCCTGTCATGTTGAATGCTTTTTATTAAATCAAAGATTCCATTTGAACTCTTTTTTTTTTAGGATGTCAGTATATAGGGAAACATGAAATACGGTGTCCTATTCTAGGATTTTTCCAATGTATTTGATCTATCGCTGGGGCCCTTGGCAGAGACATAATCTTACCAAATTAAATCTTCAGGAATTCCTTAAGATGATTTTAGAATTTTCCTTAGTAATATATCGTGGTGCCTCCCAGTTTTTATAGTTTGTAGTTCTTAAATGTATTCCTTAATAATGGAGTCATTCCTAAAACAATAATTTCTTGTCCCTTTGTCAGTAGTGAGGGGTAAATTTCTCAGCACTCTCAAGTGCTAAGAACATAATATAATATGGCAATAAGTCATAACCCCGGTATAGACCTACCTGGGAATCGTTACCCTGAAGCTGCTTCTGCAGCCATTTCAACCCTTGGACTTCATTCCACAAGTGATGTAACGAGGGTGCTAGCCAGCAGTCAGCAGCCACCTAGCCCTTCCACGAGAGCTATGCATTTCATTCTGTGAGTTTCATCAACTCCCACTAAAGATAGAACTGACGCAAGATTATTTCTCTGATTTCCCAGTGCTTGAAGCTCAACAGTGGCAAAGGGGTAGGAAGGGAGCAGTTATTGGCACATCTAATGCCAGCAGAAGTTTCAGTTTGACAGCCTGACAGTGAGCAGGAGATGGGAAAGCACTGCACAGCAAAGACTGCAGGGGAAATCTGTTCACATGTCTGTTGAAAGGGCTGGGAAGAGTGTATTATAGTGTAGATTTTCATGGGAAAATGCTTAAATTAAGATGTTTTATTGCATTGACGATTATAGCTGAAATTATTTGAAAGAAACAAAAGATTGTCCACTGCAGGTCTCTTGTGGAGATTAACAATGATATGCATGAAGTGCCTGGCACCAAATAAGCCACAACCCTGCAGATGGGACATGTGCATTTGTATCACTCTGGGCTTGATAGTCCAGGTAATTAAAATGTGTGGTTCACTGTAGCCTCTAAATAAATGTGTTTGACTGTAATAACTTTTCAAGCAACCTACTTAGGATTTTCTAAACTAATTGGCGTATAAGCTCACATGAATAGTTAAATGTTTTCTCCAAAACTGATTTAAACCATTATAGTCTATTCTGGACATAGAAGAACTCTAATCCAGTTGTAAGAGAAGTTAATTTATATGCTCTTAAAAAAAAAAAGCTAAATGAAGATATTAATAATCAAGACCTAATATACCAGAAACGTGGACCAGCTTAGCTGATGAACATTTGATTCTTGTGCACAAAGGAATCCATAGTTCTTGTGAATATCGGGAATTCCATTAAGTTTCTGGGAGCCCAGAATATGTAGGTACTTACACTGAGGGGGAGAGCTGAGTCTAGTCTCTGGATGGACCAGTTATCCTTCTTAGTTGCTTGGCAGTGAATATTCCCTAACCCCACCCATCAGCAGTTTTCCAGATGTCTGTAGGAATAGGAGGTACTGGAAATAAACACCAGTCACTAATGACTCTGATTCATGCATGGCATTGTATGTGTACATGTGCACACTGAAATTTTTTAAAAATTTAAGATGGAGCTGCAGGACGTATACATCAAGGAGGAGAGAATTATGTTTCTAACTTAGGGTCCATGGAATCTTTGAGAATGTGGTTATGGCTTTCTGGGGTCCCATGAACCTCCGTAATGGTAAGCAGCATATGAAGTGGTTATTTTATATTGTGAGATTCTCGAAAGCATCCTTGACTTAACAGAACAGTGGGGGCTTGAACTTTGGTGGTAGCCACTGGTGCCATCCATCATATATCAACTTTGTTCATACAATAGTGACTGAAGTAGAGGCATCACTCCAATTCAGTAGCTGAAGCAGGCCTAGTTTCACTAGTGCTTAGTGATAAAGCTGGCATTCCTGGTGAGTGGTGAAGCTTCCAGCCCAGTCCCGTTAACTGACGCCTCTTGGTGACATGAGCTGTATCACTTACCTTCTCTGGCCTGAATCTCCCCATTTGTGAATTGATGGGCTTACACTATTATGATCTCTGGAGGACCCCTTCAACTTTTTGTAAAACTGCCCCATCTGTCTTACCGGACTGTCTTACAGCTGCCTGGACTTAAAGGTTTACCCTCAGTCCCTGAGCACCTTTTCTGTTGAGGTTTCCATAATGAGGGTCCATCCAAGAAGCACTTGGCTGTTTGTTTCTTTTTTTTTTTAAAGATTTATTTTTATTTATATAAGAACTGGGGTACAGGCCAGATGTGCGGGAGGGTGAAAGGATTCACTAGAGACAGAGAGGGGAGCCAAACAGGCAGATGGACCAAAGACACTGCTGAGGGGTGCAGTGGGAGAGGCAGGAGAGGTCTGCAGCACCATGTGGGTATCTCCCTGGCTGGCCGGGATCGAACCGGTGCTGCAGAGGCTGCGGACAGCTTCACAGCGCCATGCTCAACACACTGTACCACCAGGGAGGCCCTGTTCTTTGTTTCTTTTACAGCTGTTCCAGTTCTGGGAAGCTGGCAGAGACTTTTTCTTAAAATTTCAATGAGTTACAGTAAATGTATGATGCAAAATTCTGCTTTTGTATTTTTTTAATCTGAGTTTATTTTCTGTTGCAATTTGTTAGTTTTAACCTATTTGCACAATGCTGAGTACTGGAAAGCGAGATGCACCCCGTTCTCTGCTTCTTGTTGAATTACTCTTTGGGCAGGGGATACTGACTCAAGACTGTCTGATGACATGTTGTGGGACTGTTAAACATGCCAGGACTATGGAATTAGGGTAGCCGTGGGTGAAATGCTGCATCCAAAGCCCTTCCAACATGTGACTCCAGATATTCACAGGCCGTGATTAAGGTTTCATAGGAAGAACTAATTGCCACTAGCCTAATTCTCAGATGATGGTTGGTGGTGCATATGATCGTTCAAATGAGAAACAGGAATGACACCCAGGGGCTCTTATGGTAGGGAGGCAGAAAGGTCTTCAGCCCCATTCTGTGGGTGCTGGTGGAAGATAGGAGAGGCAACAGTAGGTGCAAGTAAAGCGGCATTACCTTTACTGAAAACAGAGTGAAGTTCTGGCTGGCTCGGGTTTATATTTTGGAAATGCATTCCTTACATGACAGTCCTAAATCTACCTGGCATTGCTGGATGTGGTTATAATTATACAACTTTTGCAAACTCCTTCTCAAAATCCACTCTCAGAAATGTGATCTGATCATGCGCAATCAGTTCTTTTTACTTCCCCGTGAACCTCTATGCTGCTCAGACCTGCATTTCTTAGCTTTCCTGGAGCTGGGAAGTTTGAGCCGCCACTGAAGTGTTACTGTGGGAGGCGGAGTTTTCTGCCTCTCCAATGAGATGCCTTCCGTGTCTGAAAAGCCTATCATCTTTCACTGGAGCTCTTACTCTGTAATCCAAGCAATAGCCAAGCAGCCTGTCTTATTGTTTGTGGAGTCCTGTGGCTCTGGGTGGTGTGCGGAGCGGGAGAGGGACCATGGGAGCTTTCTGATGCTGCGTTGTATGGGGACCAGGAGCGAACTCACCCTCTGCAGCCACCTGTGTGGGTGAACATGCAACTGGGCTCTTAGGCTGAGGCCGAACCCCTTTCTCCAGCCTGAGGAGTTCCTTCTATCTGCTCCCCACAACTAGTTTTCTGCACTTGTGGGAAAAATGCCCAGCAGAGGAGCAGGAGTTCGGTGTGGGGTGCTTGGTGCACACCAAAGAGTCGGAGTGCCTTGGTTCTGGTCTTGGCAAAGTCCTAACAAGTGTTCCTGAAAGGATCCCACAGCTTCATTTTTTAAATTATACTTCTATTAATTATTTTTATTATTTTTTTTTTTTGGTGGGGGAAGGCTGTGGATATCCCTGATGCAGAAGCCAAGTATCACAATGTGACTAGGATAAAAATAATTTTTTTAACCCCTCCTTTTCCTCCTTTTTGGGGGGGGCACTGGATAACAGAGGAGTGATCTGCTTTCAGGATGCCTTGCTGGACTCGCAACACTGATTAATTGGGAAGGAACAGGCTCCATGAAAGGACTGGGACAGTTTTTAAAAACTGGGCTTTGTGTTCTGGGGGCTGTTCTTTGTCTCTAGTCGGTTTTGATGTGAAAGAAGATGAAAAAGGAAGGTTCTTCAGGTTCCTTCAGACTCAAGTCAAATCCAGGTTCTCTCTCACGTGCTGTGAGTTGGATAAATTTCTCCTCCTTGTCCAGGCAGACAAAGAGGCTGTTTCGCAGTGACGGGGAGCTCTCGGTCTGTGGGCAGCAGGTGCAAGAGGACGATGAAAATTGGACGTACAGAAGCCAGCCCAGAAAAGGTGACTTTTATAAACAATTTACACATTTCTAGAAGTTGGCTACATAGCATTCTTGGTTTCCAGCACTGATTTCTCTTTGTGATGTTTGATCCCATTTGGGGTGTGTGTTTGTTTTTGTGTTGGAACTCATTTGTTTCCGTGTCGGACATAGCAGTGCTCTTCCAGTTAGATCCTGCTTGATTGTGTCCTTCTAAGAAGGAGAAAAAGCTACTATTTGTCGGCCCTCAGCCCCACATGCTCATGAGCCCTGTGAACAGTTCAGTGCTTGCCCACCCCATAGGGGAGTCTTCGGTCTTACAATTTCAGGTGAGGGCAGGGAGCACTTTTCCGAAACATGCGCTGGGAAAACTCTGGGAGTCTCGGATCGTCTCCTTTCATCCTTCTCCTAAGAAGATTGATGAATTACATGAACGCTTGAATCAAACAGGTGTTGGAGTGACATTAGGGAAAATGAACACACGAAGGGCTTGGTCTGGAGATCTTGGCCAGAAGGAGGTTTTGGATTTCTGTCAAGTTCCTTTTCAGACCACTGTTGGTCTCTGTTCTTGGGATTAACATGTTTTGCCCTCCTCAGAGTGAGGCAAAATATCAGTCATGCTGGGAAAGAAATATTTCAATATTTCTTAACACACCCTTCTTTGCATTTAGAAATTCTGCATTCTTCCTCTTCAGATGTTTACTCTAGAGACTGAGTCCTTAATCTCAAAAATGGTTTTCCGTTCTGAGCTGTGACAAAGCCCAGTAGGGGGCACTATTTAAGTCTGACAAAGGGAAGCAGACATTCCTTGTGATTGTTTTCCCTGTTTATCACATTCTTCCTTTGCCAGAAGAAACCTTGCTAGAATCTTTCAGAGACCTGTTCTTTCTCTTCATTTGAACAACAAAACTCTTTGAAATGTGAGAGAATAAACTAAGTTAAATATGTGCTTACAGGTACAGTAATTATTCCATGCGCTGAGAATTAAATGCAGCCCCTGAGTAATGTGTGTTAAGCTATTTGTTCTTGTCTGTTCAACTATGGCACAGGAGGGGCTAGTTAATACTCTGAAGATATCCTTATGGCAGGACGATGTCAGTCACCAGCGGTCTCCTGGTGCTGAGCTTAAAATACAGATTTTCCGTTCAGATGTTGTATCATTGCCAGGCAGAGAAAAGACATTTGTGCTTCTGGCTGGAGTTATGTAGTGATTTCATGAACTTTACTTTTCTAAATCAGGAATACACTGTGGCTTTGGTAAATGGGTGAGTTGCAGTGTTGGAAGCCAACATGTTTGAAGGGTGGACATAGTAGTGCCGTGATTGCATGGGGCTATGGAATCTACTCTTTTAGGCTTTGCCAAAGTGGCTTTTATGACTTGTTTTGTTTTAAATCAACTGCTCTCAAGTTTCTGTTAAAGACTGCATACCTGTGAGAATGTGGCTGTAGGATTTCTATCATGCATGTTTCATCTAAATTAACTCTAAAGGGAGAGATGCTGTGAATTTGCATGTATTAGTTTTAGTTGGGAATTGAAGCAAATACTGTACACTTGACTTGTGCAAAAGAAAGAAGTCATTGTAAAGAGCAGGGGCAGCTTGTAAAGGGAAGGGAGGACTTGTTTATGTAACAGTATAAAAGATTGGACCCTTCATCCCTTAATGTAACAGGAGATGTAACAGTAGCCTTGTGATGATTAGTGGAGGCATAGTACAGTATGTGGATTCGTATGGCTCTTAGAAATACTTGGGCATGGACAATATTACCATTTTTGACATGTGGAGTTGGGGGGAATCCTTAAAAAGCTGCCTCTTGATCAAAATTCTTGGTATTATATTTTGTTTTCACATTTAACTTACAAAAGAAAATTGGCTCCCAATTTTGACATATTGTCTCAGGAGCATGTTATAACAGTGGAGCCTTATTCATATAATTCTTTAGAGAAATGCAGAAAGTGACACTTTTTTATGCCTGCAGATCAAAAGAGGAAAAATCTTTAAGAAAAATAATGCAGGATTGGAGTTTTTCCTAGAAGCATCAAACAAGCTGAAACTCTAGCAAAGATTATCAGTCAGTGCTAAGAATGCCCAAATGGCCATATTAGGATTTGGTTACAAATAAATATGCATTAAGGACATATTGGTTTGATGGGGATTGTGTATGTAGCATCTTTATTTTCTTTTGTCCAGAACACATGCATTTGAACACTGTTTTTAGCCTACTCACCAAACCCCTTCCTTCCATTAAATTTTTTTAAAATTTACCCATATCTCAAAACCTGTGCTCTCTCCTCCCATCCCCACATATACTACCATCAAACAGTGACAACTAGAGGTGGGGCAGTGTCACTTAACAAGTCACCTCACTCCAGTGGTTCATCCATCCACAAGGGGATCTGCGGTTGGCCGGGTGTCTGGTACTGCAGCCTCCTGGCCCTCTCCCTTCCTTCCAAGGACTGCTGCAAGTCTCCCTGCCTACCATCTGCAGGTCACATTGCATTATTCAATTAGCCCTTCTATCAGGGCAGATAGGGCATTGTGTAAGACACACAGGTTTATTTTAGAAGGTTTTTTAAGGGCTTCCCTGGTGGTGCAAGGGGTTAAGATGCAACCTATGAAGCTATCCACAGCCTCTGCAGCACGAGTTCAATCCTGGCCAGCCAGGGAGCTACCCACATGGTGCAGCAGACCTCTCCTGCCTCACCCGCTGCTCCCCTCAGCAGTGTATTTCAGTCAGTCTGCCTGTTCTGTTCCCCACTCTGTCACTGGTGAATCCTCTCATCCCCCACACCTTTGGCCTCTACCCCAGGTCTTGTACGGATAAATAAATAAATCTTAAAAAAAAAAAAAAGGTTTTTTAATAGTGAATCTCCATGCTGTATTGCTTATCAGTCTCATCAAACTGAAGTTCTCAAGTGGTTACCCTTAGGGATATCTGTCTGCAGAAATATATAACTTTACAATTTAATGTTACCTCTTAAACTCATGAACCTGAAAATAAAATTACAGTGCTTGAGACTTCTTTGATGAAACTTTTATAAGCTTAGATGTTATTAATAGTCATCTGTCAAAGTAGACTGTTTTTCCCAAGTTTAAAAAGGAACTAGAAGTACACATTTGTAAGTCCAAAGCAATCACAAATGCTTTCTTTTGTTCTAGCACATGGCACATTTCAAAGCTCTGGTATTGCCATTTATTTAGGAAGGTAAAAATGAATTGGTAACAGCAGTCATCAGTTTTTGTATTCTTCGTGTGATATGACCCACTACAATAGCAAGTGATATTTTCACATAATTAGCCATAGAAATCAAGGATATGAATCAGTGTCCTCTTGAGTGTTAAATTCATTGAATCATGAGCTGTTTTATTAGATGCCTGTGCCATTAAAAAAAGTGGAAGTTAGTTGTAGTTGTAGTTACTTGTAGCCAGTCTCAGCTACAGCTGACTTCCACTTTTTTTTATGGCACAGGCATCTAATATGTAGATTTTCACATGGATTTGTGATAACATTTATGGAAGGGATTCTTTCTGAGTACAGTGTGTGGCATGTAAAAAAATACAGCACTCGCTCCTTGAAGTTAGGGAGTTCATATGTAAATAGAGAAGCAGAGAAGAGAGCCAGAGGACAATTTTGATAAAGTGTGAAATGAATGACTTAGGTCAGAAGTTCTAGATAAAAATGCTTAATCTGGAGCATTTTTATGTTTTACACATCTTTTGACTGTGATTTAAACTTTTTTTATGAGCTCCTGCTTTGTTTTCATGCCCCCTGTGGAAGGTTCTCAAGGAAAACAAACGGCTAGTGATATGTATTCTGTGCTTCCCCCTCTTCTGCTCACTTATCCTTCTCTTGTCAAATAAAGCCAAAAGAGAGAATAATAATGGGGCACCTTCTCACTGAGCAGAGCATGTTTTTGTTGTTGCCCCAGCTCTCTGTTGAGCTGGGCAGAGGCGTGATTGATGATACTGGTATTGGCAGGTCTGTAGATAAAGGGTAATTGACATGCAATTTTAAACAATGCTAGATTTAAACAATGCTATCATTCTCTTCTTCTGGACTTCTGGTTACATGTACAAATAACATTACCAAGTTGAATCATTTGAATTTCAGTTTTCTCTTCCCAGGAATTACAAAATGGCCAGAAGTGGCCTTACTTTAGGTAGCAAAAGTAATGAGTAATCTGTATACTAGATAATCAGTTGCTAACTGCGGGAGTTGATTGTATTTTACATAATTTTGCACCTATATCCTCCCTAATAAAATAGTTACAGAAAACAGGATCCTTGTGCATACATTAGTGATGACTTCAGATATTATGATGGAGGCGAATGGTATGGAAGACCAAAAACAGCAAGGTCAAGATCCTATAAACAGCTGCATTTTGATTTTGATCCTAAAATCTTTAAAATTACAGGATTTAAGAATGGTATTGTGGGCCTCCCCTGGTGATGCAGGTGGTTGAGCACAGCGCTGTGAAGCTGTCCGCAGCCTCTGCAGTGCCAGTTCGATCCCGGCTGGCCGGCGAGGGTCCCACATGGCATGGTAGACCTCTCCTGTCTCGCCCCACTACTCCCCTCAGCGGTGTATTTCATCAGTGTGCCTGTTATGTTCCCCGCTCTGTCTCTGGTGAATCCTCTCACCCTCCCGTGCATCAGACCTGTACCCCAGTTCTTGTATAAATAAATAAAATCTTTTTTTTAAAAAAAAGAATAGTTTCTTCATGGTATAAAGAATACCATAAAAATTTTGGCAAAGTAGCACCCCAACTTAGAGAGGGAAAACTAGATAAATAAGTAATATTTATTCCGAGGATCTAACCCTAACCCTAAAAGAGATAAGAAGATTCTCAGTTCAGTGGATATTTTTTAGAGATTTATTTATTTATGCATAAAAGAACTGAGGTGCAGGTCAGAGGTGTGTGTGGGGGGGTCAGAGGATTCACCAGACACAGAGTGGGGAACAGAACAGGCAGATTGACTGAAATACACTTCTGAGGGTAGCAGTGGGTGAGACAGGAGAGGTC